AGAATTAAGAACAGTAGATAAATAATTCTTCTGAAGTGTAAACTGTAAAGTCTTTCACTAAAATAAATACGAGTGCAGTGGGAACATAAACACACAGACACAAACTGGTGTAATGAACACCAGAGTTTAAAAGTCTAAAGGTCCATCGTCACTCAATACCCTCCCCGGCTCTAAAGTCTAACTACTATTCAGGGATTGGAGAGTCGTTAGTAAGGAATACGGAGTTGAAACAGGGAGGACATGATAACACACAGTGGAGCAATTCAGTGCTATCAAGCTAAAGCAAAGCAAAACATGTTGAGTCTGTTGCCAAAGAGTGAATTAGATCATCTTTAGGAGGGACAAGTGAACCTGTAGTCCCCTTCAACAGCTCATGGACAGCCTCCAGTCTAACCAGGCTCTCCTGTCTCTTTGTATGAAGCCAGTTAAGTGCCAGTGTTGTGTCAGTCAACCAGTTGGCACGGTTACCTCTGCAGCACTGTACTCCAATCAGTCCTGTCACTCAGCCTATCTTACAAGATAGAATGGAGAAGGAAAAGTAATTGGATTTACTGCTAGCAGGGAAATGATGAAATGACATGAAACCATACCTCTATTTCACCCACCACACACACACACACACACACACACCCACCACACACACACACACACACACACCCATGCCGACACGCAAACACACCTGTACACTGTCGAGAGTAAATCTTCCCTTTTTCCCCTCTTTCTTTCCATCTGCCCTGCTTATCCATTTTCTTTTGCTTCTAAAATCTGGAAACACTTCAGGCTGTTGAGTGTTTCTTTTCATCTCTCCTGATGCGGCGGGAGTACCTTGTTCTCCCAGGTAGACAAAAGATGAGTCGGAATGAGGGGAACAAAGGGATTTCCAGGTTTACACGTTGGATTTTTGGGACGTTTCTGGCAATCAGGTAAGAAGACGGTCTACAGTGAATTTTATACTGTCAAAAAGTCAGTTCCCCAATGTTCACCATGTCAGCTGACAAAGAACTACTGTGACCTCCTGAAGAAAAATTTCATTATGTGACTTTGAAGTACAAAGACATAATAACAGTGTACTCTGGATAGTTCTGGCAGACATTGTATGGAAATAAAGGAGAGGCTTCCATAATCAGAACCAACAGACAATAACCTTCTGTACATTGGTGAATGTTATACCCAAGAGCTCAAAGCAAATTACATATTACACACCCTGTGTCTCATACTATACATATTGCTACTTGAGGTCCAAAATACATGCTGTTTATGAGTTTTTCTTCACATTTCATTAGAGTCCAGACAATGCAATAACATATTTCTGCCTCCTTACAATTATTTTTCAACACTGCATATAAAACCATTATGAAAAAATTAAGGCTGAAACTATTAATCCAATTAATCTCAATTAATCTGATTAATCAGATTAACTGCTTTAGTTGACAAATCAACAACTAAGTAATTGATTAATCGTTAATTATAATACACAGACTAAAACAGACCATTTTGTTAAAAAAAAAATCACAGAGCAGTAATTAAGCAAAAAGTGTACAAAATATATTTACATTTTGCATTTAAGATTAAAAAGAAATTTTAGTAAATGGGTTTTAACAACAAATCCCCAACTCTAGCAGGTTAAGTTTCCCCTGGTTCAGATTTACTAAAAGATTGCTTTGTTGCATTATAGGCAATATAATGTTTATTGCGTTATTAAAAACACAATAGAGAATTATTTGTTTATCTGCGTCTTTTATTGTTTTCTGTATGAGGTATGTTATGCAGTCTGTCAGAGTTTTGTGACCACGATTTCAAGAAAAATATGTTCTCAGATTGCAATGTTGATATTTTGCTAAAAGAAATCGGCTTTCACTGTCCTGCTTTTGTTTCCGCAGGCAAGATGAATATGGAAAGTTCATCCGATGAGATGAGGAATTATGGACATTTTTTTTATTTTATTTTTTTCACATCCTGGCAAAACACTGTCAAATGGCTGAGAACTTCTAGATGGAAATTGCAACGCCGTCTGAGCTAACTGTCCTTCAGCATAACAAAATTTTATTACAGCCTATAATAACATGTTAACTAATAACATGTTATCTCAATCCAAACTTCTACAGAAAGAAAGCTTTAATGGAGATGTTACGCTGTATTCTGCTCCTACTGTATATGCCATGTGCTTAGTCAGTCATGACATTGGGATTAGTCATCCTGTGCAGATTTACAATATCTTCCAGCAGAGCTCTCACCCTACCACACACACACACACACACACACACGCACACACACACACTCACACACAGCCAGACAAAGAAACCTACACTTTTCCAATGGACTGCGTGGATTTAAGCTCGACATTAGTGATTATATATTCATAGATCAATCAATACAGAAAGTCTAGCAGGCGAGACGTGTCTGTGCAAGCAAACACACAGTTTGCAACAGTCCCATTGCAGGAATCCTAATGAGTATCAGAGTGTGTGTGCGTGTGTGTCGACATCAATACAATGCAGCTTTACATTTCATTAGGCCAGGAGCACAGTTTAACTTCTAATGAGTAGCAATAAAACTCCACCGCCTGCAACCATGCGCTTCAGCTTCATTTTATTCTTTCTAATCCCAGCTTCCTTCCATTTTTAGTGCCTCGCCCCCATCCACTACAAAACTTTGTTTTATCCAAAGCAAGTTGGAGGCATTTAATTCTTGTCCAATCAATTTCAGAAAAACTCATTTAAAGCGGAACTAATCATGGCAACAAGAAATGGAAGAGCTTAACAAAGTGCTTGTAGCTGAAACTGCTGTTGATTTATAGTAATTGCCATTTTGCCGTTCCACCAGCTCATACAGACAACTGCATTTCACTGCAGCATCTCATTGATTTGTTGCGAGCACACCGGCCGCCTCCACCTCACCGTTCACCTTCCTCCCTCTCCCGTCTCCCGGAGCGCAGGGAAGATGTGCCGGCAGAAGGGAAATGGGAATCCGATGGGCAGGATATATTCCAGGATCTGCTGACCTCGTCGCTCTCGACAGACACACAAATCATGTGTCTGCCCGCACGCGAGCCACAGACATGGTCCAGGGGTCAGCCGCAAGGACTGGCGGGCCAGGTTTCAGTCGACTTGGCAGAACCTGGGAGACAGGATGCTGCGCTAAGATGGCATGCATGTGTCTGTCTGAGCATTTTATTTTAGCCGACAAGAAAGGAGTCGACAACTGAAATGCTGAACTGCAAAAGGTTGTCGATAAGCTGCAGAGGAAATGTCATCTACAACTTCAGCAGATGCTACAACCGTGAAATAAATGTTTATTTTATTCCATTAGCAAAATCTCACACTGAAAAACTTTAATTTGAAATCAGTGAAAAGTTAGAAATATGCATTTTTTATGTGAATTATTATTATTGGTGATAATAATTTAACTTACATTTGTTCTCGGTTCACTTGTTTTTTATTTTCTTGTTTTTTTCAGTAAATCCTTGTTTCTATCAGTTAAGCTGATTCTGTGTCTGTTGAATCATTTTTTTTGTTGATTTGTCACATGATTCTAAATGGTTCCCCGACCTATGAAAAATGGCCCAGAGCATTACAGATTCTCCACTGTACTTGAAAGTCATGAGGTGTTTTCTTTATGTTTTCCTTCCCTTTCCACACAACCCCACTTCGGGTGTTTGCAAACAAAAAGCTAATCAAATAGGCTCATCAGACCAAAACCCACTGGTCCAGTTAGACTCACCATAAAATCTCTATGTTTATGATTGCTACACATTTAATGTTTACTATAGAGATCTTGTGACCTCCATCTCCTTATATTTTTAGACTGGCAATATTTTTTTTTCCACCAGTAAATTAGTTAAACATGATTATTTCGTAATGTGGGATTTTCCCAGAAAATAAAAATGTACCTTGAATTAATGGTTAGATTTTTCAAACTGTTTAAAGTTACTGCAATAACAAATGATATTATTTCAACAAAGTTATCTGCATGAATATGTGTTGTGAGCTGAATAAGAGCTACTTGAATATTAACTAATGATTTCTGCCAGAACAAGCACTAAAACCTTCCGGGGAGCATCATCAGAAACCTTTTCAAGGGTAAATACTGAAAAATGAATTTGCCTTTGTGATATTTAATTATTTTTTTAATGTATTTATTCAATTCCTTTTATTCTGTGCTGACAGTTTTATACTTTCTGAAGCATGTTACTGACAGAGACACTGATATGCTGTGTCCTGCTGAGGACAGAAAAAAAGAATTGGAAAAAAAACATAATGCGCCTCAGTCGGAGTTCAGATGAAGGAGCAGCTGATTGGCACACATGCAGTGCAGTCTACTCAACACTAGCACTCAAGGAAGCCCACACATATTGTAAAACCCACAGGGACTGCATGATCTGTGTGTCTGTGGAACATGAGAGAAAAATTACTGCTTGCCTGTGATTGAGAACAGCTCATTTCAGCAAGCAAACAAACAGGCTCAAAACAAGTTATGAGTTTCTCTCACCTGTGCTGCTCAAGAGACACATAAAAAAAGACATCTGCACCCACCTTATAGCCACTAAAAAAGAAAAAGACAAAACAAAAAAAAAAACCCTCACTGACGTTTGAAAATTCTGTGACTACAGCACTCAGAGATAAAACCCACACAGCTCCAGTATGTCTAGCAGCGTGAGTTCTACTCCACAAATCTCTCTCCCCACCCAAAAAGAGAGACACAAACACACACCGTCTCAACCTTGCTCTGCAGGAGAAAACTTCCATCTGAAGAGCTAGCTCCCTGTCGAGCTTTTGGCAAGTCTATATGCAATTGCAAAAATCTTTCAATGACAGAAAAAAGGGGATAAAAAGCCATTTTTGGAGGGAACAAACATAAAATACCATGAACACCACAAACCACAGCAACACGCATTTTGGTCACAAATCTCCATTGCTGTTCCTGGCATTGACTGGATATGTTCTACCTCTTTGGAGGATTCATCTTCTGACATGGAATCCCTTAAACTCCCGGTCACTTACCTTCTTTATGCGTCCACTGCGAGTTCCGGTAAATGCCACGGTGTTTCCTCTGTAGTCGTACGCCGCCACAGAGGTCATGCCGTCATCTTTGTCCACGTAAAGTGGAAATCCTTCGATGGCTTTTGTACCTCCGAGAGGCTGGTTGAAGTCCTGGCCGCAGAAGTTGTCGTCTATCTGCAGCGGCTGTTGTGTAAGGAGACACACAGGAAGACAGCAGTTAGAAAATGTGCAATAGGCTGCATGAAGTTTGTGCACATCTACTCCATCTCACTGCGAAATTTTATTCTATGAATAATAAAAGGCAATCAGCAGAAACAAACAACACAAGCATGAGTCTTTTAGTACTTAGTAAAGGGAAGTGTGGAAACCACAGAGTCGTATAACAAGAAGTTTAATGATTTTTAAGAAGTTAACAATCAAGCATAATTACGTCATTAAGCCTCAAGAGGATATAAAAAGTACATTGTGGTAATATTTATTTATTTTTATCTCAGGCTGCTTTGGAAACTTGAAGAGGCCAACCAGAATAAAGATGGAGGTCTGGCCTCTGGCCAGGAGGAAGGACAGGAAGTAAATTATAGGTCAAATTAGCATATCGTTATCAGAGTGTCCTGTACATGCTCATTACGATGCTGATGTGTCACACATGATTTATGCATAAATTGTATGCGTGTGTGTGCGTGTGTAACAGGCATGTCATTGACATCATGCATCATCCCTGCAGACCTGGAGGTTCCCCTGAAATCCCTGAAGGAGATAATCTGCAGCCTCTCGCCACCGATTTGTCAAGCATCTTTTGTGTTTTGCTGTTCTTTGAGTATGAATATCATTTTCTACAGTAGAATTAGTATTTTCACATGTTAACTTTCAAAGATCCTTGTGGTTCTATTGGTTGCTAAACTTAAACTACCTAAAAGGCAATGGAATGACACAGGGCTTTTTCATAACAGTTTATTCACAGTTTTTGTGTCATCAAGAGGGAGTCACATTTATTGTACATGCAAACTTGTTCCTTTAGTGTTTAACCCCTTCAGACCTGATGTTTTTCTAGTGGACGAAAAAAAATGTGCTCATCTGATTTGTACTCTCCTTAGGGTTACAAATAAAAGGGAAAAAAAGAGACATTTTTCCTATCTGATGTTTTAATACGTTTTTTTAATGTCCATTGTAATGACAGCTTGACTAAATGAGCATAGAATGTCTTGAAAACCTCTATACTTTTCCCATAGAGTTTCATGTAATATCTAATTTGATATGATCTCAACCTTTTAAACTGAATGTCTGCCTTTATGTTTATCAGTGTGCATTTCTGAATAGAGAATATAAAATATGTATATATAATAAAACTAGGACTGCTTTACTTCTCCATGTAATTTACAATCTAATTGCTGTTCTCACATGGCTTATTTCCTATATACAACCACTCAAGATCAGATAGATTAGTTATCAGATCTGCATGAAAACTGCAGACTGTCTTATGCCTTTTTATACATGCTACTTTCTTTGCACGGTAACACTGAATAATCAGCCGTTACTCAATAGTGAACAAAGATTTAATAAAACATCTACTCAAGTACAAAGTAACTGATTAGAACATCTAATTTAACATTTCACAATGATATCGTCAAAGCAAAAATATAAAATTATGTGAAAATTCTGGTATTTTAAAGACAAGTAAAATAAATAATAATTCAAATAAAGAACATAATTATGAAATAACGTATCTTAAGCAACAGAAATCTTATGAAAGTGATACTGTAGGTCTATTGCACACACTTTTGGTGAAAATGCCTTACCATTTCATTCAGTGAAGTTAAACACAATGGATAGAGTATCAAGACAGTTTACTCATGACAATAATTCATAATACCGTATTTTCCGGACTATAAGTCACTCTGGAATATAAGTCGCATCAGCCATAAAATACATAATAAAGCAGGAAAAGACATCTATAAGTCGCACCGGAGTATAAGTGGCATTTTTGAGGGAAATTTATTTCATAAAATCCAAAACCAAGAACAGACATGTCATGTTGAAAGGCAATTTAAAATAAAAATAGAATAGAAGCAACAACAGGCTGAATAGTTATATGGTATAGGCCTACTAACATTACATGACAACGAACTGACAACGTGCCTGGAATGCTAACATAACATATTAAGAGTTATTCAGATAACTGTAGCATAAATAACATGCTAACAAGTTTAACAAAACATCTGTGTCTCTCCAAATCACTAAACGTGACGAAATCTTCGTCCTCGGTGTCGCTTGTACAAAACTCCTAAGGTAGAATAACACAGGTCTCTTGCGGTTTAGTGTGAAAATAACATGTGATATGACATAATAATGTGTTAATAATTTCACACTTAAGTCGCACCCCCGGCCAAACTACGAAAAAAACTGACTTGTAGTCCGGAAACTACGGTAATATTACTCAAACAAAATAAAAATGTGTGAAATAAAAATATTAAGTAATTTTTTTTTTCCAAAATGTTATTGAACAAAATGAAATAGTTACTACTCAGGTCTGGCTAGTAATACTTCGCTTTGTCCTGGGAATTAATAAAGTATATTCATTCATTCATTGGTTTTCAGCATTACAACTGAAACATGGGACGTATTACTCTGAAAGTAGACACAAAGTACAACGAGTTGGGTGACTGTAACTGTAAAGTGTCATTTGTGTGTGACTCATATTTTGAAATAGGTCTGTTGGGTTTTTATGTTTCCAGTCCAATGGGCTGAAATACCTAAGGCTGAAGGCATTTATATGCTACAACAAGAGAAGCAACTTGTAAGTGACTAAAACAGCAAAAGAAAATTGCAAGATAGGCCTGTTTATACCACATAACAATGTGGTACTTTAAGCCTGAAACTTTAAAATGTGTAGTTTAAAAAAATTGTCCACCCCTTGGATTTCTGTTATAATTGAATCTGTCCTGAGCACATTTGTCACTTTGTGGTTTGGCTTATCCTCAGACAGGACAGGACCAGATGTACAACAAACAATCAGGTCTGCAGAGAGAATCCTCAGGACTGACCTCAGGTCAGAAAAAAAAAACTATCATGTCTGTGTCCAGCATATGGGTGGTTTAAAATATTAAACCACGCATCTGCAAAGTGTTTAAACCTTTGCCTTTAGATCATGAGAAGGAAACATAATTTTTTCCCAGACTGTCAAATTAATACCATGAATGTTTGAATTACAACTCATTTAATTTATCACGTTTTTTTTACCTAATTTGTTTGAAAGACTTAATGAGTCTTCCTAAATATAAGCACATAAGATTCAGAGAAACCAGCACACAACATAAATACTTTTACTACATGAGCTGACAATGCAAAAAAATAAAAGAAACATGAAAGAAAATCCCTTTAAAAGGTGAGTGATGTACATCTACACGTGTAAATTCTTTACATGCTCACAGAAACATGCGCCAAAGGAAAACACACACACACAAACATGACTGAAGCCGCCCACACTAAACAAATTAACATGCCAGCTTTCTCTTGTTCATTACAAGATGTATCGTCTCCATAGAGACTAATCAATCACCACACCCCTTCAAAACAGCAGAGCTGTCAGGGAAAGTGTGTGTTTGTGTGCGAGCAGGCGAAGCTGAGGAAAAAAAAGAGAAAGGGTTCAGAAAACGCCTGTGGCGGACGTTGTCTGCCTTCCACCAGACTTTCAAAGGCAGCCCGACACGCCGCAAAGTTTAACTTAGCTGAACAAAGACTCGAAGTGACAAAGTGAGTGAGACAAGGAGAAAGAGAGAAAGAGGGAGGGAGGGAGTAGCAACACACACTCACAACGAATCTGCCTTTTGTATGATTAACATAAACATGTTCTCAATTTGGGAACCGCTTGCCGAGTAATTTGAGAGGAGGAAAGGAGGACACGGAGAAAAACAAGAACACGGGAGGTGGCGCAGAGATGATGGAGGCAGATATGACAAGCTGGAGAGGAGGAAATTAGAAGGGGAAATCAAGTCAAGAGAGGGACAAAGACAGAGACCCGGCATGAAGAGAAGGAAAGAGGAAGAGGCTGCCAGGGATCGGTGATAGTGTGAAGTCCGACCTTTTTGAGGTTTCCCTTCACTTCCTCTGATAAGGACCATATCTTCACTCATTCATTTCAGTCATTTCCTCCATCCAGCCCACTTTCACCTCAACCCTGCTCTTATTTTCCCTCTATGCCTTGAAATATTTCTCTCACATCTTCCCTTTTTCCTTGAAGGCTCACAGGAAGTGGCTGGTGGGAAATCGTGTCTATCCCCAGAGGGAGTTGGACGGTACTTTTTTATTTCTGCCAAGAGCTCTTTCAGGCCATGTTTCCACCTTCTCTAAAGTCACAAGCATGATCGCAGATAATTCTCGATTTATAACTGCATCCTGCTTTGCAGGTCGTCCGACCAAACTGAGGAACAAGATACCCTCTCGGTCGAATCGTTGCCTGGTTTTATCACAAAACAACTTCCTTCCTTCCTTCGCCCAAAGGCACCACCACAATTCTGCTGCGGAAGAAATTAAACCAAAGAAATATTTTGTGACTGCAAACTGTTTAAGATAGCGATTTACAGCAGTGTGGTGAAGGCAGGTTTGATTTATGCAGCAGCGCTTCTACTTGTAAACCAATCTGCATTCCCGGGGTATACGGCCAACGAGCGGACACGCACCGGAGTGAGATCACTGTCTTTCCCAGTGCTGTTGTTGGCATGCTGAGGACGCTAATGGTTTGTTATGTTTAGCTTGACTTGCATCATTACCATAGAGTCAACAGCTCAGATTGAGGCACAGCAGAGCGTTCAGTCGACGTGTTTTCACTGCAGACAAATGTGGCCTCACACAGGCCCGACATCTGCTAGCTGTTGTTTGCCTTGTAGACATGTAATTCCGACAGTCTGCCTCTTTTATCATGCCTCCGCAGCTACTCCTTGATGGTGGGTTTTTTTCCCCTGCCACCGCTCTGTGATGGACTTACAGGACCTAAAAATGCTAACTAACCCCAACAGAAGCTTGTAATAAAAAGAAAAGAAACTGTTAAGGTTATGATCGAGAGATTTGGGCTTTTAGTTTTCCGCTGCCAATAGCAATATGTTAGACACATTCGGTACTCGGTCTGATACCATAAAACCGGACGTTTAATAAGCTGGTGGCCATTTGTCCTCCATTTGTCACAGTCC